CCATAAAATACATATACATGACATGAGTTAAACCACAATACAAATTAAGTTAAAGTAAAACACAAAGAAAAAATGGTCAAAAGCAGAGGCACCGTTCAATAGATTTTTGTTGTCTGTCCATTTGCAGACATCGGAAAACATTAAAAGATACAAGTTCAGACAATTTCAGTTGAGCCTGGAGATCGATCCCTGTTGATGGGGCGGCAAAACTGAACGCTTTTTTCCCCCAATTCACGGCGGTTTACCGTGAGCATGTGGTCATTGACAGGCGTCTTCTTCTCTCCATGCTTTCTGACTTGCTCCACTGGAATGTCTTCTACTAATAGTATGATGCTATTGATATTACTGTGGCATGAATAGGAATCAGTAATACAAACGGAACATTCACGTAGCTAACGCTAACCACGTAGCTCCCTTAATTACATTAATGCATTTATTTATTCTGTTCATACGCCGCTCCAGTAGATCAGGAAGTGGGCCAACGTGCGGTTCGTCTCGTGGCCCAGGGGGTAGAAAGGGTGTGCTGGGAACCGCAAGGTTGGTGGTTTGAGTCCTGGCTGCCCCATGTCCTGAGCAAGACACCTAACCCCTAATCGCTCGCCGGGGTTAAAGTGTAATGTAAGTCGCTTTGGATAAAAGCGTCTGCTGAATGACCTGTGATGCAAATGTCTCCTGCGATGTGGGGAAGTGATGTCACAGCGATGACGTCGTCGGGCTTTTCTCTCCATGCGAAGGGAGTCTGCAGATTTACAAAAGGATGGACGAAGGGAAGAGGCCGCAGAGTTGCATTGTGGGAAATGTACGACGCAGTGTTTTGGGGAGCAAGAGGAGTCTAAATATTTTCACCTCTTCAGGCTAAAAGCCTTTCGTCTTTGTCCCCCTCGGGGGACTAAAAGAGTAAATCATCAGACTGATAATCAGCAGCAATAACACAAGCAGGACCCCACAAGGTTATATTGCTATGTGTAGCGCCGCTGCTAGCCGACCCGCCGCCACCGCCTTTTCCCTCCGTCTCATCTCAGGCGCCATGCAATCGTTCCTCCGTGGGGGGGGGGGGACGCTGCTAATTCCTGCTGCGCTTTATCGGCCCGCTACTTGTTTTACAGGCGGCCAAATTAAACCGCAGTGACAAATTGAAGCCGTATTTCATGTTATGTTACAGCATTTAAACCTCAATTTAAACTCTTGTCGATGAACTTCCTTCATGTCAAAACCGTTGGCACACAGATGGTAATGTGTGTGTGTGTGTGTGTGTGTGTGTGTGTGTGTGTGTGTGTGTGTGTGTGTGTGTGTGTGCACCTGTAGTGAATGTACCTGAGCAGTAGGATACATGTTTACATGGATGTAAAGTAACAAAAATCTTGTGTTTGGGTTCAATTAACACAGAGCATTGTTCCATTTTTCATGTTATTCATTTATATTTCACCTTCAAACCGTGACTTCAGAGGGACGATTGCACCACCAGCCGATGGCTCCAACAACAGCTGTGTGACGGGTTTTGTGCGTTGAATCAACAGCTCGATGGATCCATGAGCGGTTGAATATGAGCACGGGGGGCGAACGGCACCGCGTGACCACATGGTCCAGTCACATGAATCGCTCTGAGCAAACCGTCTGTCTGGTGCCACCCAATCGACATCAGTATCAATGACACGCACACCACCAACAGACCGCTCCTCTGCTGCTGGTCGTCTCCCCCCCTACGTCTCCCTCTCTTCCCCTCCCCCCTCTGCCTCTCCTCCGTCACTCTCCTGCTCACTCACTCATTGATGGAGGAGGGATGTGACCAGCATGCCGAGCGACTCATCGTTATTCAGGAGTCAGGGGGGAGCGTCGCTTCAGGTCCGGCCTCTCTCTCTCTCCCCCCCTCTCTCTCTCTCTCTCTCTCTCTCTCCCTCTCTCTCTCCCTTTCTCTCCCTCTCTCTCTCTCTCTCTCTCTGGCGGAAGGCGGATGGCGTCATCATCACACCAGCACTGATGTGACATGTGGACTGAGGATAGTATTAATATCATATAACAATGATAATAATATTTAATCATCGTTTGTTCTCTAGTGCCTGTGAACACGGCCGCCCTAGTTACGGTTGCTATGGCTGCCTGCGCACTCTGCACGCCGCCGTCTGCAAGTTTGTAACCGCGTCCGTGATTTCAGGAGGAACAAGTGAAGCAGCTGCTTTCATCGGGCGTCACTACTCGGGTAAAAACAAACGCCATCGTTCCTCCACACAGCACACATGTCATTTGTATTATCAGACATAACCTGTAACCTCACGTGTTCATTTAAACGCAAAGAACAATCTGAACAAATGAACATAACTGGATTTACTATTATATTGTAATATTACGGATGTTGATCTACCGCACACGCGTCACGAGTTGAAAATGACCTGTGTTTTGGGATTATTGATGGAATAAATAGATATCAGTGAGGAGTTCATACAAACTCTCATGTTAGATTTACTTTATGCCGTTGATTTCTGTCGGAATGGACATTGTTTTGTCATGTGTGGCATACGAAGCCAGTAGTCAGAAGTAAGAATATTATATAGATAATATGATAACACATCCTCTCCACTACTCTGCCCCTCAGCCCTTTACACCCCACTCGCCCCTTCAGATCAGGCCTGGACGGGGCGGCCGTGGGCCACAGGGCGTCTCTTCGGGACAGGGCATCTGCATTCCCATGCTTGTCTCCTGGTCTGCAGACAAAAGAGAAGTTAAACTCTTGTAACGAGATGAACCATCTTCCTACCTTTGCGTTGGTCTCTGTTTTTATTGGCCATCCAGATTAGGGGAGCAAGGTCGGTCACCAGAGTGAGGTGGCGTCCCCAGAGGTAGTAACGGAGGCGTTCCAATGCCCATTTTATGGCGAGAGCTTCCTTTTCTACCGTGGCATATTCTTGTTCTCTTGTGTTGAGTTTTGTGGGAGAGTACTGGCCCTATGCCCACCTCTGAGGCATCCGTCTACACAATCATCTCCATGCTGAAATTAGGGGTCACCAGTACCTGCTGTGAACAGAAAGCCCCCTTTAGGTCCTGGAAGGCTTATTAAATTGTAACCGTCCACTTAACCCTGAGTGTCTGGGAGGCTCTGGTCAAGTCTGCGAGGAGAGAAGTTTGGGATGAAACGGCTATGGTAAGAGACCAGACCCAAGAATGACTTCACCTGGGCCCTGGTGGATGGCCGAGGCCAGCCCTGGATTGCTTGGACTCTGCGGACTTGTGGCCACACATTGCCGTGTACAATAGTGTAGCCCAGATATTCCACCAGACCAAGCGTGCAGTTTTTGGGGTTGGCCGCTAAGCCAGCTTTGCGAATAGCTTCCTGCTGCCAGCTTTACCAGATGGCTGTCCCAGGAGTCACCGTGAATGACGACATCGTCTAGATATGCAGCTGCAGACTCACCATGTGGCTGCAGAACCCTGTCCATCAGTCGCTGAAATGTGGCTGGGGCTCCATGCAGACCGAAGGGTAGTACAGTGTACTGATACAGCCCTGACGAGGTAGCGAAGGCCGTCTTCTCTTTAGAACTTTCCACCAGGGGTACCTGCCAATAGCCTTTGGTCAGGTCCAGAGTGCTGATAAAATCAGCTCATCCATCCTGGGCATAGGATGAGCACCATACTTTGAAATTGTATTTAATTTCCTGAAGTCATTACAGAATCGGTTGCTTTTGTCAGGTTTTGGGAGCAGCCCAACCGGGCTGGTCCGCTCACTGTAGGATTCTTCTATCACCCCTAGAGCCAACATCTTCTGTACCTCGTTTTCTATTGCTGCCCTTCTTGTTTTAGGTATCCTGTAGGGGCGCAATTTTATCTTCTGGCCTGGTTCTGTGATGTTCAATAATGGATGCTGGCCCAGGTTGTGCAGAGAACACATCCAAATTATGTTGGACCAGCTCCCTGGTTTGTTGTAGCTGTCGGGCATACCACTTTTTTAGCAGGTTCACATGCTTGACTTGGGCGGTTTTGCTGCACCCTGGCTGTCATTCCTTGTAGCTGACTGGACCAACCTTCTCTGCTACCTCTGTGTGTCATTCGGGAATACTTCACTCGAGAATGAAGACAACTATCAAATAATATATCAAAATATATTTAAAGTTTTTAAATATAGATAACAAACAAAATTCTACAGTGTGCAGCGTGACATTTCCTTTACAGCAGGAAGAGAAATTGTCAGAGCTGACTTGTATAGTTATTGGTTAAAGGTCCATTACATGTTCATGACATCCTAAAAGTGAAAGTGGACAATGAGAGAGAAAGTGTCATGTTCTGCAGGTGGTGTCAAAAAACACCGTCAACATTGATTTATTTTTCATTAACTTGCAGAAATTCACACTTGTTGCTGGACGTTATTGGGAAACCACCGAAGAAGTGGATGCAGACGTGGTTTGTGACTCATTTCAAAGAGCCCGCGCTTTGTCTGTCGCCATCATCCTTTTTTACAACCAGTGAACAGGACGTCCCTGGTAGAGACCTGTCAATCAGTGTGTCGTTTTCTCATAGACTTCAATAGGACCAAACGAGTGGCCCCCTGCTGGTCACTGCAGAGAATGCAACTTAACTCATGAAGCTTCATCCAAAGTGAAAAACGACATAAATGCAACATCTGTAGTAACATCTAAGGTGGCACACCGGCCCTGTGACACGCGCCATGTGACACACGCCATGTGACACGCGCCATGTGACACGCGCCCCGTGACACGCGCCATGTGACACGCGCCCCGTGACACGCGCCATGTGACACTGCATAAAAAGGTGCATGAAAAACAAGTATGTGACAGAGATGGGGGGCATAGAGAGAGAGGGAGAAAGAGAGGCAGGAGGGGGGAGATGGAGAAAAACAGAGGCGGGAGGGGGGAGATGGAGAGAAAGAGAGGCGGGAGGGGGGAGATGGAGAGAAAGAGAGGCGGGAGGGGGGAGATGGAGAGAAAGAGAGGCGGGAGGGGGGAGATGGAGAGAGAGGGAGAGGAGGGGGATGAATGCAGAGCAGCCTCTCCGCGCTGTGTAGCCAGTCCGGCAGCGAAGGACACCGGGAGAGGATCTGCGTCTCAGCGGGGGGGAGGACACCAGGAACACGGGATTAACCGGCCGGAAAGTGCTTCCTCCTCCGCGTGCGTGTCCCCGTTTGACTGGATCAGCGGGACAGAAGAAGGAGGAGGAGCTGGAGGAGAAGGAGGTTTTGGAGGTCCTTCTTGCCGGAGGAGGCACACGGCCGACGGTGTCGCTGCGACGGCGCGCCGCCCGCCGGGCGGAGCGTGCACGAGTGGACGCGTGTCAGGTGTCCTCCTCTCTCAGGTGGATTTGGAGTAAACGTGGGATTTTGATTTTGAGTTTTTGTCTGTGGCATCCCCCCCCCCCCCTCTCTCATCTCCTCTGTCCTTCCTCTCCTCTCTCCTCTGTCTCCCACCTCCTCTCTCCTCTGTCCTTCCTCTCCTCTCTCCTCTGTCTCCCACCTCCTCTCTCCTCTGTCCTTCCTCTCCTCTCTCCTCTGTCTCCCACCTCCTCTCTCCTCTGTCCTTCCTCTCCTCTCTCCTCTGTCTCCCACCTCCTCTCTCCTCTGTCCTTCCTCTCCTCTCTCCTCTGTCTCCCACCTCCTCTCTCCTCTGTCCTCCCTCTCCTCTCTCCTCTGTCCTCCCTCTCCTCGCTCTGACTGCTGTTCCACTACGGAGGGCAGAAGCAGATAGGTGAGTGTTTTTGGTGATATGGGGGGTTGTGTGGGGGGGGAGGCTGTTGCTCTTCCTTCCCAGTGGACCAGCTACTTGCACCTTCGTGTCCCTCCATCGATCTCCCCCCTGGTACCATCTTCTCAGCATCCATCAGATGTCCTCCCCCCCCGGCTCCCTCCTTCTCCGTCACCCAGCATCCACCCTTCTTCTTTTCTTCACACATCTCCCTGTGCTCCTTGTTCCTCCTTTGCTCTTCTGTCCTGAAGCATCACTCATTTTCACCACCAGCCAACCAAAAGAAAGGAGAAAACACACACAGACACACACACAGACACACACACATGCGCGTTGTTACCTGGAAGTCATCAGGACGCATGAAGCGTGGAGGCGTCAGACTCAACGTGAAATCAACAGTCTGCGGGAGAACCTGTTAATTCTCCGTCCACCTCTTCATCATCACCTCTTCATCAGCCCTCTGACACACACACACACACACACACACACACACACACAGACACACACAGACACACACAGACACACACACACACAGACACACACAGACACACACACCACCTTCGCCTCAACATTCCCATCATCCTCGCCTTCAACTCTCTCATCAAGAAAAATGTCCCTACACACACACACTCACTAACAAACACATAGTGCCATGCACAGCCACTTACACACCCACTACACACACACACACCCACTACACGCATGCACACGCACACAGAAAGTTTTCACATGATAAATTATTTACAGGATGAAAAGTGCAACACTGCCCTTGTGGTCCAATTTACAGACGGAATATTTGTTAATTGTTTGGTAGCAAACAGCAGACTGAGTGAGAGCTGATGAAGTGTGTGTGTGTGCACACAGACACACACACACCACACACACACACACACACACACACATACACATTGTCACGCAAATATGTAAAAGTTCCTTGTTGCTTGTCCTTGAAATCCAGGCCAGGACTCCCAGCAGCCTCTGGGCCCCAGTGGGTCTGGGATCGGACTCCCAGCAGCCTCTGGGGCCCAGTGGGTCTGGGATCAGACTCCCAGCAGCCTCTGGGGCCCAGTGGGTCTGGGATCGGACTCCCAGCAGCCTCTGGGGCCCAGTGGGTCTGGGATCAGACTCCCAGCAGCCTCTGGGGCCCAGTGGGTCTGGGATCGGACTCCAGCAGCCTCTGGGGCCCAGTGGGTCTGGGATCGGACTCCCAGCAGCCTCTGGGGGCCCAGTGGGTCTGGGATCAGACTCCCAGCAGCCTCTGGGGCCCAGTGGGTCTGGGATCGGACTCCCAGCAGCCTCTGGGGCCCAGTGGGTCTGGGATCGGACTCCCAGCAGCCTCTGGGGGCCCAGTGAGAAGCTTTCACTCATTCACCATAAAAGCTTCATTGTAAACTTTAGAATCTAAATCAAAGCACTTTTAAAAGTAAACGTGTTTAGCAGCTTAATCCATTTCATTCCTGTCAGTCAACTATTGTTTAGTACGAGACGTTATTGTTTACTGGTTGTTTATACTTTTGTTCCATTAACGTAAACTCCATCAACACCTCCTCTGTGATTTTTAGCATGGGACTGCCATCGTTAAATAACGTTAGCTTAGCATAATCCCCCAGTAGTAATAAATGTCTCTTGCGTCTCCCCTGAACGGAGGACGTGGCGTCCTCGGGGGCTCGTCTCCAGGGGGCCGTCGAGCAGAGCACTTATTCCGGTTCGGGAATCGTTACATCTGCTTCCAGAACAGATTTGAAAGTTCAAATGACGGTTTGAGGACATGAGGACGACTCTTCTGGACGCATGGACCATCCGTCTCTGTCCGTCTGATGGAGCCACTCTGTATTCATAACGGCACCTATTTGTTTCAAACGGGTTACAATCCCCCTTCACACGCACACCGGCCACCAGGGTGAAAGTCTGTGACCTTTGACCCTGTGGACGCTGTCCTGGGTCAGATGCTCGAACCGGTGTGGATGTTTTTACTTCTATATGTTACTTGGTGGTTACTGTTCGTTATGGGAGCCAGATCACCTGGTTCGTTGTTTAGGCTACACGTCAGAACAGTAAACACACACACACACACACACACACACACACACACGCACACACACACACACACACACTCACACACACACACACACACACACACACACACACACACACACTCACAATGTGGGGCAGTGGTCGCTTTCACAACCGATCGTAACATTATTGATCTTTATTGCTTAATTATTGTTTGTCAGTCGGCATCAATGAAAACACACATTCATTCAACCACACGGATCATTATTAAGCCCCAAGCAGTTTCTGACTCTCCGATCTGTAGATTATTTGTATACATTCGTCATCGTAACGTGTGAGCAATTGTTGCATAGACAACTATAAGAATCCATCCATCTTCACACCGCTTATCCTGCACACGCAGCCGCTAAAAATAACGATAGAATAAACAGTCAAATAAATATACCAGTTTATTAAATGAAGGATTGAATCACAGGTCCTGGCTTGGACTCGGCCCAGCGGCCTTTCTGTTCTCCCTCAGTCCAAAGACAAATCGGTACTTGAACTACCTGCAGGCGTGTGAATGGTTGTTTGTGGAGCTGGATGGACTCCAGCCCCTCGACCCGTGTGCAGGATAACGGGTTTGCAGATGGATGGATGATGCTTTTCAGGCTCCTTTAGAGGAGCGCGGGGGTTTTCCTTCATTGAAGGAATTCTATTCATTGTTTAATGTCAGAATCAGAAGCCATTTTTTGCCACATGTGTTACACACAGAGGAATTTGACTTGGTGAATTGGTGCGATATAACAATTAAATATAATAATTCAATGAGATAAAGTAGAATAAGATAAAAAGATTTAATAATCATCTTTACAATATTTTAAATGAACCAATCGGCACGTCTTCAGGATAAAAGCTTCAGGTGATTCTGTGTATTATGTGTATTTTGTGTACTTGGTGATGCTGACGGTTTTCTTTTAAACATCTACACAACGACACCGGAAAGGCGGAGCTAAGAACAACCAACTTTATGAAGTGTCAATCACATTAAGCCCCGCCCCTGGCCAAAGAGACCACACACAAGCAAACACACACACACACACACACACGCCTACACACACACACGCACACACACACACACACACACACACACGACATGATCCGTCATTCTCCGCTCACCTTCCTGCTGACGGAGGTTAAATATTCTCCTTCGCTCGCGTCGTCGTCCATGATGATGAAAGGATCCACTTCCTGTTGGCATCAGGGAGCCGTCCCTTGTGTTCTTACTTTGCCATTGAAGAAGGTGCTTTACACACACAGATGTGTTCTGTGTGGAGAGCAGTGATGGAGGTCGGAGGTGTGATATCGTGGAGAGATGGAGGACGTTTGTGCTTGTGTGACTCAAAGCCGGCAGGCAGCCGGCTGGAGACTGTGACGCTTCAGGTGGACTCACAGTCAACAGGAGGTGTTTTGGTTTGGTAAAAAGACACCAGGATCCCTGCATTCTGTGTGGTGACCAGCAGGGGGCGACTCCTCTGCTCCCATAGACGTCTATGAGGAAATGACTCTACTTCTCTGTAGTGACCAGCAGGGGGCGACTCCTCTGCTCCCATAGACGTCTATGAGGAAATGACTCTACTTCTCTGTAGTGACCAGCAGGGGGCGACTCCTCTGCTCCCATAGACGTCTATGAGGAAATGACTCTACTTCTCTGTAGTGACCAGCAGGGGGCGACTCCTCTGCTCCCATAGACGTCTATGAGGAAATGACTCTACTTCTCTGTAGTGACCAGCAGGGGGCGACTCCTCTGCTCCCATAGACGTCTATGAGGAAATGACTCTACTTCTCTGTAGTGACCAGCAGGGGGCGACTCCTCTGCTCCCATAGACGTCTATGAGGAAATGACTCTACTTCTCTGTAGTGACCAGCAGGGGGCGACTCCTCTGCTCCCATAGACGTCTATGAGGAAATGACTCTACTTCTCTGTAGTGACCAGCAGGGGGCGACTCCTCTGCTCCCATAGACGTCTATGAGGAAATGACTCTACTTCTCTGTAGTGACCAGCAGGGGGCGACTCCTCTGCTCCCATAGACGTCTATGAGGAAATGACTCTACTTCTCTGTAGTGACCAGCAGGGGGCGACTCCTCTGCTCCCATAGACGTCTATGAGGAAATGACTCCCTCAGTAAACATTGTAATCAAGTGTTCTTCACGATGTAGTAACGTCACACGGTCATTAACAACAGGCTTTGATAAGACGCAGTGCTGCTTAATATAAGACACGTCCACTGTACAATGAGGCATTAGTGAGATATGGGAACAAATACTTCTCAGCAGCATTAGAAAACTATTCCAGTCAAATGCAGTAACAACACTCGTTTAAAGATTTTAAAAAGGCTGAAAGGCCGTTATTCAATCCTTCCACTGGCAGATTGCATCACATTACAGGTCATTTAGCTGATGCTTTGATCCAAAGCCACTCACATTGTATTTTTAACTCATGGCTTTTTTCCATTTTTGCCCAGAGAGCAGTAAGGGGTCAGGTGTCTTGCTCAGGGACACTCTGACATGGGGCAGCCGGGGCTTGAACCACCAACCTTGCGGTTCCCGGTGCACCGTCTCTAAATCTCACCTCAAGACGTCTAGAGGATAATAAGTTCCTGCCCAGATGAATCGTCTTCACGAGGAAGCACTCTCTAAGATGGTGAAGTGCAGTTTGGGGTGAAGAAAACCGAGCAGATGCTCGCGTGAAGTATAAATTATTATCCTCATCCTTGTAAAACGGTTTATTTAAATATTTCTGCGTTCTCTAGACGGGTCTTTGAGGTGCGTTAATCTGGTTTGACTCTTTGTTGTCTTACTGAGTGACTTCCTTCCTTTGTTTATTGCTGATAAGCTTCCTGAGCTGCTCCCTCTGGGTATTAATGGGCTTCTTTGGAGGGATTTTGGATCATTTTTGATCCACTCTCCATTGAAACAAACTATATCAAATATTGCACCAAATCTTTGCAACAGATGTTTTTAATTTATGAGAATTAAGTAAACATGGGGAGGATTTACTTTAATTTACGTCCAATGTAATTCTCTAATGCAAATCACAATTTACTATCATACGCAATACTGTTAATTACCGTCATAAATAGTTCATCTGTAAATAGATGACTGGCCGAGTACGAAAGTCTAAACAAAAGGTTGAAACTGCGTCTCAGGACGTGACTTGCTGTATTGTCCCGAACAGTCTAATCGGGCCAGAGGACAGTTTTCATGTCATTTATGTTGCATACGTCTGTCCCACGTGGCCTCGCTTTCACCACCATAACATTTATAAAATCAGGGCAGCACAGTGTGACTGTGACGTTTTCACTGAACAAAACATCCACCTTCCATCCACGCGCCACTCCTGCAGACCAGTGTGTTCACAGACACACCACTGCCCTGCACGCATCCATCCATCCATCCACCCATCCACCCATCCATCCACAAATCCATCCATCCATCCATCCACCCATCCACCCATCCATCCACACATCCATCCAGGCATCCATCCACCCACCCATCCATCCATCCACACATCCATAAACACACCCATCCACACATCCATCCATTCACACATCCATCCACACATCCATCCAGCCACCCATCCATCCACACATCCATCCACACACCCATCCATCCACCCACCCATCCATCCACACTTCCATCCATCCCACACCCATCCATCCACACTTCCATCCATCCACACCACATCCACCCCATCCATCCATCCATCCACACATCCATCCACCCATCCACCCATCCATCCACACATCCATCCCCACCACATCCATCAACTCCATCCACATCCATCCAGCCACCCATCCATCCACACATCCATCCACCCACCCATCCATCCACCCATCCATCCATCCACAATCCATCCATCCACCCATCCATCCACACATCCATCCACACAACCATCCACCCATCCATCCATCCACCCATCCATCCATCCACACATCCATCCAGCCACCCACCCATCCATCCACCCATCCATCCACACATCCATCCACACCCCATCCACACATCCATCCATCCACACACCCATCCACACATCCATCCACCCATCCATCCACACATCCATCCAGCCACCCATCCATCCACCAATCCATCCACACATCCATCCAGCCACCCATCCATCCCCACACATCCATCACCCATCCATCCAACACCATCCACCCATCCATCCATCCACACACCATCCATACAGACATCCATCCACCATCCATCCAACAGACATCCATCCACACATCCATCCATCCACACACCCATCCACACACCCATCCATTACAGACATCCATCCACACATCCATCCACCCACCCATCCATCCACACATCCATCCATCCACACACCCATCCATTACAGACATCCATCCACACATCCATCCACCCACCCATCCATCCACACATCCATCCATCCACACTTCCATCCACCCACCCATCCACACATCCATCCTTCCACACATCCATCAACACACCCCATCCACACATCCATCAACACACCCATCCACACATCCATCCATCCACCCATCCATCCACACACCCATCCACACATCCATCCACCCATCCATCCACACACCCATCCACACATCCATCCATCCACACACCCATCCATCCACACACCCATACACATCCATCCATCCACACATCCATCCACCCATCCACCCACCCATCCATCCACACATCCAACCACACATCCATCCACACACCCATCCACACACCCATCCACATACATCCATCCACACATCCATCCACCCATCCACCCACCCATCCATCCACACATCCAACCACACATCCATCCACACATCCATCCACCCATCCATCCACACACCCATCCACATACCCATCCACACATCCAACCACACATCCATCCACACATCCATCCACCCATCCATCCACACACCCATCCACATACCCATCCACACATCCAACCACACATCCACACATCCATCCATCCACACATCCATCCAGCCACCCATCCATCCACACATCCACCCACCCATCCATCCACACATCCAACCACACATCCACACATCCATCCATCCACACACACTGTCACAGCGCCTGCCGCTTCCTGCTGCGCTGCTCAGCCTCCAGCTGTCGGGGCACGCTCGCCTTTATCGGGCTGTAAAAGGTACAGAACAGAACCTGTTGGATTGAGCCATCGTCAGCCCGACTGGTGTCCCGCTGCATCGCTTAGTCCTCACCCATGTAAACATGAATGAATGACGAATGCAAACGTTCACACAGCTGGAGGAGTCCAACAAAGAGAGACATCAGTCCTCCAGCAGACGTCTTCTACTGAACCAAGTAGAGTTCGTAACGTATCCACACATTGTACAAATGTTCCCCCCGTCTTCACCACAGACTATAGATAAGAAGTGGACGTAGTCGACAGGATGTTTCTAATTGGTTTGTGGACTCAAGTTACGAAGCATCAAGTTCATTGATTTCATTTCCGCCATCTTGGAATACAGCCGTGCCATTTCAGCTTTTTTGCAGTCGATGGACGGAGGTGACCATATTTGGACTGAGCAGGACGAAGACGTCTCTTATAGAAACATGTCAATTGTAAAGCTGTCGATGTGTGTGGACATGTTGTCTGCTCTGTAAGACGTCATGTTCAGCAATGCGTGTAAATGAGGCCTCAGCGGCAGCGTGCCGGCTGGACTGGTCGCCATCTTTGATCTTGGGTCGAAGTCGTCACCTCCAGCTGTGACCACATTAGTCTGTATTACCAGCAGCATCCCAGCGTCAAACAGTCTTTCCTCCCACTCGTCGTCTGTTTGTTTCCTTGCTTTGCATCACGAACGTGTGTTTTCTCCGGTCGTCGTTGTTTATCCTCCCACTTCTTCTTCCTCTTCTTCCTGTTGGCTGAAGCTCTTATGTTTCAGTTCCCCTCAGAGAACGAGAGCAGACGTTCCAGTCAAAGCAGTTATGTAGCAGCTTTCTTGGTGTTTTGTCAATGTTACAAACTACAGTATGAAGCCCACTAGACGGAGGCCTGGCAGCTGATCACGGGACCACAACCACCAGATATCAGAGATCGTCCGAAACGTTTGGGAAGCGTTGCGGCCCCTTTTCTAAACACCAGTCACGACTTTGTTTCCCTGAAGAAGAAGCTGCGGTTCCATAATCCTCTTTGTTGTCGTCTCTCTCGTCTGAATAACTACAGTTATCCGCATCGCTCCTCCCTCGCTTTGTTTTCCTTTAATCTCTCCACTTGTGTGGAAACAAACATTTAGCAGCGACTGATGCTGAATGCAGAGGAGGCGGAAACCCTCAAATCGAAAGTGTCAGAAATGATGTGTATGATTGACGATGACACGTGGACGTGGTCTTTGCATCGCTGCCATGATTCCTCTCTGAGGGTTCATAGTTCACAGGGTCAGAGTTCAAATACTAAACCTAATTGTGTTCCTCTTGTCATTGCAGATCTTGTCAGATTCTCCTCAAAGTGGCGTGCATCGTTTCCCAGAATGCTACAGGTGTGAGCAGCACGCCAGGTGACCCCACTGACCACCTCCCCCCGTCCTCCCTCCCACCCTGCCGACCCTCGAGCAATCTGCAGTCAATCATCTTCCTCGGCGGTGCCATGGCAACCGCCTCCGTTCAAAGACTCAGCGGCCCTCAGCTGCTGCACTGAGGGACCCTAAAGGGCGACAGGAGAGGAGCGCAAAGCATTCTGGGTGTTTTTAATGGACTTGGTTTTTGAGCCACAGAAGAGCGGAGGAGTTTGTTTGACTTTGACCACCAAGGATACAAAGCAGGAACCAACAGGAACCCACAGGAACCCACAGGAACCCGCGGGACCTCCTAGAACTTCACTTCCTCCGAACGTCCAGTCTGACAAGCCCACAGGTGCCAGAACACACACACACACACACACACACACACACACACACACACACACACACACACACTCACACACACACACACACACACACACACACACACACACACTCACACACACACACACACACACACACACACACACACACACACACACACACACTCACACACACACACGCACACACTCATTTAAACAATGCAGACACGCTCTGCACGAGTTGAGAGACGAGTCGTCACGTTCTACCACGTTGTTATCGGCACTTCCTATTTTCGTCTTTAATCTTCGTATTCTGAGTAATCATCTCTTTAATTAATGGCGACGGCGGCGTGAAATCTCCCCCCTTGCCACCCCGTCCCCCCCAGACACACACACACACACACCCTCCATCCCGCCGCCACCCGAAACACCTGAAACCAATTAGCATCAGCAGATGTAGATGGCGATTAGACAGCGATGCAGATACAGAGACACAAAAGAGGGATGGAGAGAATGAAGGAGAAGAAAGGGGCCGGCCAGTTGATCCGGGTAGTCAATGGGAGGGCGGAGAAGTGGGCGGGGCCAGCCAGGGGGTTATGGCGAGAGGAGAGATAACTAGCTGTGGAGCGAGCGGCAGAAGGACTGCTGGCCGGCGGCCACCATTCAGGCCTATTAAGGGGATTTCATTTCATGGCTTAATCTCTCAGTCCGCCTCTCGTTAAGTTCCCCTCTGCCCCCCATCCAGTGTCTCCTTCCTCAACGCCCACAACCCGCAACTCCTTCTGCACCTCCTTCTCCTGCCTCCCCCCCTCCAACACGCTCGCTCAGTCCGGAGGACATCGTCCCTCGATCTGATGAGCTTCTCGCTCCTCTCTCCCTGCAGCCTCCACGTCGTCCGTGTCGAGGCCGAGATAAAGGAGGAAAAGGGGCCCATGAATGAAGAGAGGGACAGCAAGGTCCAATGTTCTAAGCTCATCTGCTGCACCTCCGTCCTCCCTCCAACCATCTCAGCCCCCGGGGACATTAAAGCTGCCTCCGTCTTCAGAGGGAATCTTTCGATATCGGCTCCCGCTGTGGTCATCTTCATTCTGTGAGTACTTCAGTCCTTCTTAAGTCCCTCCCCCTTTCCTCCCCCCTCCCAGCGGTCTCCTCCCGTAAATCCTGTCAATGATTGATGTAACATCGTCATCCTGGTACTTTTAACCTCGCCTAACACAAGCGCTGTGAAACACACGCGTGTGCCTCCATCGGGTGGGTGGATGCAGCGGGTGGGGACCTGTGGTGGTCTTAGATCTGTTTTGGGTTTAGTTGCCTGAGCTTCATGGATCACACATTTGAGTGTTAAATGTCAGCTGTAACTCACAGAGATTAACACAGAGGCCGACCTGCAGGCTCTTTGGGGACCAGTTCGCGTTTTGTTTCTGGTGGAAGCAGAAGAAGATCTGCCTCATGTTTCTACACTGAGACTCCAGCTCGTGTTTTTACAGTGACGGCTGTTTCTGGAGTAGCGCGAGGTGCTAACAGCTACTCCAGCATCCTTTAATGCAGACAACCTCTGAACTGTGGAAGCAATACGGGCGAATGAAACGCGTCCGTACTGACGTTGCTGCTTGTTGCTCCTTTTTCTCTCATTCCGATCTTCCTGTTCTCTGCTCAGTGCCTCGTCTCCTCCATCGTCCACCGTCGTCTCTTTGTCCTCCCTAAATCTCCCAGCTGAATCTCTCCTGCATCATAAATCTCCCCCCCGCTGTGCGGCGGAGTGCGTCATCGTGGGCGTTCGGTCAGGCGCCGCGCTCCCCGCTTTCAGTCTTGCACATGTTTTTTTTAATGTCTGATGATAGTTGGAGCCTCAGAAGTGATGCTGCTGCGTAGGAGGAGAGAATCAATACGGCTTTATTCAGCTGCTGTGTGTGTCTGTGTGTCTGTGTGTCTGTGTGTGATTGGAAGTTTGATATGAAATAATTGGGCTGAGCTACTCGCACGGATGAGCTCCGCTGTTAGCTTCGCTATTAGCCACACGACAACTATGTTGAATTTGAAGACATTGAAGCCCGCCGCGTGTTTCTGCGTCTTTACGCGTCGACGCGCTGGTTTCACTTCCTGGTTGTAAAGTCTCGCGTGTGTTGCAGAGCGATTCACCTCCAGAACAACAGGTGGAGTCACGTGTTTTGTTGAAGACGACCTAGAGAGTCACGTCTTTGTGTGTGGAAGTCGCTGGTTGCTTTATTCATTGATCATAGACTTTATTGCCCCGTGCATCCACACTGCTGCTCTTCATCAAGGACACATTTGTCCCGTATTTTCCTCCACGACTTTGTTCCCCTCGTTGGTGGAGATCTCCCTCCATGAATCAGAGGCCATCCGGCGTCCTCATAGTCCGCCAATGACGGCTTGTACAAGCGCTCATATTTAAAAGCTCTTCACTCTGATCCGTTCTCTCGTAAACGTTCTTCCTTTTAATAACGGCCGTATTGTGCTGTGAAAACGGAGACGTGAGACTCCGTAAAGGACGTAGTTAGAGACCAATCACAGCCTGCTGCTGCAGGAGGCTGCGTCGCTTTACACGCTGGTCCAGAAAAATGGGTCGACGCACGCAAGGAGGTGTGAAAAGACACGCAGGGGACACGCAGGGGACACGCAGGGGGTCTTGCGCCTGCACGTCCTTGCGTCTCTCTGGAAACGCAGAAGCATAAACTTTAGTCCGGCTAATGTTCAACGAGTAGAAAGAACAGGCCCTTCCTCTCTGGTTCTCGTCTCCTGAACACGCTGACTCGTCCTCGCGTGGACTTTAAAAAGGCTGAAAACTGACGTAATACATTTGAAGCGAATGTGGGAGGGATGGGGACATTCATACAAAAGCTCAACAGCGTCTCTGAACTCTAAACGCTGCCACATCCATCCCGACTCCACGCCACAATCAGCCGCGCCTCCTAAAGAGCTTCTGTCTGTGGACGCTACACCCGCAGTAAGTAAAGGTGGAGGCAGACAACAAATACGGAGTCTCTCATATTTGCTTCAGTCCTCCAGGTGGAGAGCGAGCCCCGTTTAGGGGGTTCAAACCCCGTCTGGGTCATACCCGTATCCCACCTGGCCCCGATGACGCCCTGGACGGAGGAGTGACGGAAGACGATGTTGTTAAAAGACGATGGTTTTTAAACCATCGTTAGAGCAAAGAGCCAATCAAAATGTATTTGTTTTATTATCATTATAATAATTATTGCCATTATTAGCATTGTTTCATAAGAAAATCGTCCCTTGCGGTTTCTCACATTTTCCCCAGTAACCTTTAACCTCTTTAGCCTGTCGCTGCAGGTCCTCCCAGTACTGTCCAGTAACACCCAGTATGTCCCAGTGAGCAAGTAGCCACATGTAGCATGAGGTGAAACAGTTTCATCGTTTCCCCTGAACTGCGTCTGCTGAGGGAATGGAATCGAGCGGCTCTGCGGGATCCGGCGTGTCGGCGACTTCAGGACGGATGTTCGAGCGTCATCAATTTTGAAAATGTTGGATTTCTTTTCCATAAATTGTTCAGCTCCCGAGCAGCAGCAGCACCACCCTCCTCCTCCCCACCAGCGGCCCGCGATGGAGGCATCCATCACCTTAGTGCTGCGCGTACCTGCGGACGCCCCCGGTCCTCCCGGCCTCCTGAACCGCCTCCTCTGATCTCATCGATCCCGCCTCCTAAGTGCACTTCAGGTGTGGAGCGGTGGAAGACGGAGAGGCTTCAGACCGCTGTGAGCGTCTCTTCATGAGACCTCAGCGGAGAGAAGAAGAGCTTCTACAGACGCACAAAGATGCCCGAGAATCTCGACTCACCCTGAGAACAATCGATAGCAGCCAGCAGTGAGGAACGACCAGTCGCTGCGCCGAGGTCCCCACGGACCGGCGGGGTCACGGGTTCCTGCAGTCTGACCCAATCAGAAGCCGGAGGAGGAGCGACCCGGGTCAATTGGGCTTTAAATCACAGGAAATGCGAGCAGAGTGGCCCAGGGGGATTGTGGGTATTCGGCTGAGGCGTAATATGCTAACGAGCATCGTGCAGAGCTTTAAAGGAGCTCACACGCTGGCAACACATCTTCCAATTCCTCTTTTATCAGGATACTACAACAAGATTCCTTTATTCTTCTTCACGGACAACTTTACTGACTTATAAATAACATGTTGTGGTTTTGGTTTTGGAAACTTAATACTAAACTGCTGCACAATGATGGAGTCTGTGGAAAGTCAGATGGTAAACCAGGTTACATCAAGATTTAATGTTCTGATCTTTTACGCCTCTTAGGCTGCATATTGGAGAAGACTTGTTGGTTATTCTTTGGAGTCAAACAGTTAAAACCTTTCATTTCATCTAAACGGGAAGGGATCATGTTTGAAAAATGAAATATTCTTCACACTTTCCTTCTCAGCATCACAAAACACATGAAAATTCATCCATCTGGTTTGTCGGAGCGCGGACCAATCAGTGTCCTGATTGGCAGCGGGGGGCGGGGCCTGTGAGAGGAGGCCGTTTGTCCTGAACAGCGATGGCGGCTCCTGAGAAGCTGAGATGAGTTTTGTCGGAGCTGCAGAGTGTTGATCTGTGCTCGTCTCTCTCCTCTTGGCTTCAGTGAGGGTTTGATTGACAGAAAGTGGTTTGGCCGGACAGGAAGGGACGATGGAAAGACGGGACAGACGGACGGACAAAAGACTTTCATCCAATGTTTGTGTCCTGATCCCACTGCAGCAAAACAACGGTGCAGATGTTTTAGATGTTTTCCCCGTCGTCACCGGGACGGAAGTTTATTTTGAAAGGACACTTTCCATCCAAAGCAGAGAACGCAGAGAAGACACACACACACACACACACACACACGCACACACACACACACACGCACACACACACACACACACGCACTTTACGACTGCCAATTCACCACTGCATGCCCACTAACAATGACACACACACACACACACACACACAATGAGCTGCTTAGTCAACAGTGTTCAGTGGAGCGTCGCAGCACTGCTGACTGCTTTACTGCAGCACATAGAGGGAGCTCTGCAACGCACACACACACACACACACACACACACAGGCACACACACACACACACACACACACACACAGGCACACACACACACACACACAGGCACACACACACACACACACACACACACACAGGCACACTGACCCTTCTGTTGTGTCCCAGCTGTGCCTCAGGCAGAGGATGGAGGTCCGTGGTCAAAGCAGCAGTTCCTTCTTGCTGAAGGTTGTCATGTTTTCGTTTACGTGTGTGTGTGTGTGTGTGTGTGTGTGTTTGTGTGTCTGCGGTTCTGCCAGTTTTCTGGAGAAGCGGCTCACTTCACTTTAGCTTCGATGCACTGCGGCGCACGTGGTCACTGAGACGCTGATGCTGCCCAACCAGAGTCCTGCCGTCTCCGTAGCAACACGCCACACGCGAGGCCGAGCAGCCGCCGGTGGAGAGCGATCATTACGCGGTTCTCTGTCGCAGGAGAAAGGAAACCGATAAAAGGGAAGAGGACGTGCGACACACACACACTCCGCTGTGATGGAGGCGCCTTTAGCTCCTCGTGTCGGCTGAGGCTGAGCTGGTAGCACACGGCTCTCACCAGGACGCAGACTGCACCAAACCAACACTGAGGCCAATAACTTGCCATGAAATACCGGCGTTCCCGCGGGTCCTGAAAACGACATATAATGTCTTAAATTAAAATTCGGGTAATTCAGATCTTAAATTGTCTTAAATTTCACGTAAAGTTGCTGTAGGTATTAATGTTTTTGCCGGTGTGCTTAATGCCGACGATAAAGCACAGTGACGCATCGTAAAACATTAATAGTTGATTCATTTAGTATTGTGCGAAATTGAATATCTGTTTACGGTACGTCGGCTACAGGCGCTGACGTCAGGCTGCGTGTCGCCATCATGGATGGAAGAGGACGCGTTTAGGAGGCGGTTCGGCGCCGGTTGAAAACAACAATGAGACGATGTGCAAACTCTGCGAAAAGACCTTTTCATTCAGACCGTGGGGCTCAAAGCCGTCGAGTCGCACATGAAAGGAGGAAAGCACCAGCGGTACGTTGCAGCAGCT